TGTTGCAGTAGAAAGAAACATTAACACTGAACTTTTTACTTTTCTATATTATAAACTATCCATTTCTACTACAACAAATAAATCAAACCAGTAAAACCCCAAATCCCCCCCCTTTTTAGTCATCAAATTTTTGACACCTTGCTAAGCACTGGTGGTACTCGAAAATTGTCATGTCCTAAAAGTGGTACAATCTGTGAAAAGGTTGAAAAGCCCTGCCCTAGAAGACATCTATCAGCCTATCAGCCCCCTCTACCGCAAAGATCCTGCAGGAGAAGGGCAGCGTGGACAACCGTAGGATCTGGCAGGGTGAGAGCTGTGAACCATAAACACAAAGCTTTTGCTGTGTCCCTGCGTAACAGATACAGAGCCCTTGTTGACCTTAATAGGGACATTAAGGAGACAGGTCAAGGTAGTTGTGATGATAACTCAAATAAGCAGGGGATCTGGTCCGAGATGAAGAACTTGTTTTTGATAGGGAGAAGTGCGAATCAGGTATTACACATCAGTCATGCAAGAGGAGAAAGGCATCCAAAAAGAGAAGCCACCTTCTGGTTGGTGATTCAATTATAAGGGATGTAAATTTAGGAAAGGACACAGAGGTTTCGAAAGAGGTCAGGTGTCTTCCAGGTGCTACTGCCAGTAGGAACAAGAAGTGTATTTTTAAAATAGTCAAGAATGCCAGCAAGGACTGTGATGTGGAGGCTATTGTACATCTTGGCACTAACAATCTGTCCCCAAAAGATGTACTCTCTGTGCAGAATGATTTCCAGAGCTTGGGGCAGGAACTTAGCAGGATAGGCTGTAGGCTTGCTTTTTCAGAGGTTTTACCAGTGCAGAATGATCTGGAAATGGGGGAGGTAGTTGTAGAGCCCCTGTCATGGTCAGATCATTCACTCCTCAGGATGGACTTCCGGACCGCTCCCCCCCGCCGCAGGGAGGAGGAACCGCTTAGATGGTTCCGCCCCAGGCGCCTGATGGACCCAGAGAGGTTCCTGACGGAGCTTGGGCCATATCCTGAGGACCTAGTTCACGATTCGGTTGAAAATCTGGCGGCAGCCTGGGAGGTGGCCTCTGCCGCAGTATTGGACCGAGTCGTGCCTTTGCGGCCTCTGACCCGGCGCAGATCTCAACTGGCTCCCTGGTTTACCGAGGAGCTGAGAGAGATGAAGCGCCGGAAAAGACGCCTAGAGAGCAGTTGGAGGGCGAGCCGAAGCGAATCCGATCGAGCACAGGCAAGGATACAGGTTAGATCCTACCTAGTGGCGATGAGGGTAGCGAGGTCTAACTACTACTCCACCCTCATTGCGTCATCAGATAATCGCCCGGCCACCCTCTTCAGGGTGACCCGCTCTCTCCTTCAGTTGAGGGGGGGGGAAGGATCCCCTGGAGGGGAGGGCCGAGGATTTTGCTCAATATCTGTATGACAAAGTCGCTCGGATTCGAGAAGGTCTTGACTCTGACTGGATGGCCCCGGGGGAGGAGACAGGAGCAAGTCTTGAGACTGTTATATGGGAGGAGTTTGACTCTGTGGCTCCTGAGGACGTGGACAGGATCCTGGGGAGACTGAATGCAACCACATGTTTACTGGATCCGTGCCCCTCCTGGCTGGTTCTGGCTGCCCGGGAGGATACACGAGCCTGGCTCCAGGGAATTATAAACGCTTCTTTACGGGAGGGTATCTTCCCCGTAGCCTTGAAGGAGGCGGTGGTGAGGCCCCTCCTTAAGAAGCCTTCCCTGGACCCAGATGTATTAGCTAACTATCGCCTGGTCTCCAACCTTCGCTTTGTGGCGAAGGTTGTTGAGAGTGTGGTTGCGCAGCAATTCCCCCGGCGCCTGGAGGAAACAGTCTATCTAGACCCACTCCAGTCGGGCTTCAGGCCGGGATACAGCACGGAAACGGCATTGGTCACATTGGTGAATGATCTCTGGAGGGCCCGGGACAGGGGTCATTCCTCTGTCCTAGTT